TCTTATACGCGATATCATGATACACGTACGTAGGTTTAGGTACATGAACACATACACACACAACACATCACAAGTATATGTATGTGCACAAAATTATTCGGTTTGCAGCTGTCACCGGCGGTCGCGTGCCCAAACATCTGCTCCCGCGCTTCGTCAAAACATATGGCCCGCCTCCAGCCCGCCGCCAAACGAGAGAGACCGGTTGTTTGCGTCGTAGCCGACAACCGACAGTCAAACGTCGTCGTCATCGCGAGCACACGCCAGAAGACCGAACCCCGGTAATAGTGGTCGTAATAATAACAGTAATAATAATAATAATAATATCGCTACCGTTGCGAGTGGTCTCGATCGTCGCGAGTGCAGACGCCGTTCGCCGGACGAAGGATATTCCAGGCAGGACACGTTCCAAACGATATTTTATATACGTTTATAATATAATACATATAATATATCGAATCACGGCACCAGGTGAGTTTCCGCTTTTTAGGATTACGACACAAAGCTCGTTTTGACGAAAGAAAAAAAAAACAAAACTCACGAGGTCTACGCTTTTAAATCATAATATTGTCTGAGGACAATGCAATGGTTGCTTTCATCTTTTGTACCTTCGGCAAAGATGTGGGGCGGCGGCGAGAAGTTTTCCGTTACGTTTTTGTAAAAGACTTTAACTTAAGTTGTTATAGGTTATACTACGAACGCCGCACAAACCCCAACACGACCATCGAACTCGTTTTCGTAGGATTGGTACACAAGTCACAAACTTTTCACTGTGTTTAACGTAATTGCACACCTTTGCTTTTTTGAAAAGTAAAAAATCATAACTTGTCTACTCAATTACAGTTTTAGGACTGAAAATAAAAGTTTACCGTTTATTTGGTTAGAAATTCTTATTTTCATGTTTCCAATTTTTTTCTGTACATAAAATGTAAGTCGAATACAATTAAAAATTGTATTCATTCAATGATTAGTAGTTAATACGTATATTATATATTTATGCATGGGTATGAATAAGTTTTTTCTCATTTTGATTAAAATGTTTTATTTACTATAAACATTAAATATATTATAGAGGTACTATTATACTAATAAGTATAGATGTAGGTAATAAATAGATATTACTTATAAACTTAGTTTTTACAACTTTTTATTATACAATTTTGTTCCCGCCATAACCAAACCATTACCAGTAGATAATAACAGATATTTCGAATGCTCAATTTTTAACACCAAATATCGATAATGATAGTTATTGTGAATTTCCTTTAATCCGATTCATGAAAGACAATTTTTTTGTCGTTAATTGAAATTATAAAAAGTAAAAGCCTATAGTTACAATGTCCCGATTTTCATATTAATCTGTCACCACTAGCCAAAGACCTTTTTAATCACTTTCAAAGTGGTCTCTGCGCGTCTGACATCTCATCTCTTCTTCCTTTGGAAACAGGATGTTATAAATGGTTCAACGTTCTGTCTTAAACAAAGACGGAATATGGAAAGCAAACATTCTTTTCTGCCAAGAAACACGCATTTCTTTACAATTTGCCTTTAATTAATATAAGAACATTTTATTACTACACCGACAAAACTGGTACACTTACTATTTTTTTCAAAATGGCCAATCTTATGTTTTATCTTAAGTTGGTCACATTAGTTCAGATACACAGGGCCTTTTTGCAAACATCAATAAAATATTAAAAGTTTGTCAATAAAGAGCTTAATAATTTTATATTTGACTAAAAAGTGATATTGGCCTTTCTTGTACCAAGCCACATAATTATATTACAAAACTCACTATAACACCAGCTGCAACTACTGTGTTTATCATCCCTTCTGGTTGTATACAAATAAAAACTATACATATTTTTATTCTATTTATAAGTTCAATAAAATTTATGAACATCATGTGCTATAATAGTTATTTTTGAACATAAAATATGGATGCTGTAAAGTAAAACTTTTTTCTATTGATATTAGATAATCATATTATGATTTATTGTTGGAACTTAGATGAATATTATAAAAACAATCTATCTTAACATACTTTATGTCTATCATAATGGCTAATTTATAATTAAATAACGAATAAATTTTATAATTTACTTAATTACATTATATTTTAATGTAAGTACTTCAAAATTATAGTTTATTTTAACTAGAAAAAACAGGACATAAAATAATATGTTTTCAAAAGCAAAAAGTGTGTAGTTCAAATTCTTGTTATAAAAAAAACTCAATAGGTATTGATTATTGAATAAATCTGAAATTTTACTGAACTCATTTGACGATAGACAGGATTGGCACAACAATATTATAATTTATCAATTATTATAACTTATATGAAATGTCAAATAAGTACATTTTAAACGACGATTAAAAAATATGTATATTTGATAGTCCATATGGACATACCTCATAATATTTATAATTCAAATACATTCTAATTTTCCTACTTTTCACACTATAACGATGTGCGTGCATAGAACAAGTATTAATGGATTTACATTATTTTTGTTTTGTTTGAAAACCATGTAAATTTTTTTAACTCAGAAATATGATGAAATAATAAACCAATAGTGGTTTGGGGGAGTTTTTCCAAAAAAATTCAAAAAACGAATAGTCATCATAAATAGTTCACTTTTAACTTACAAGTACCTACAACATTTTTATAAAATAATAATTATGAATGATGATATGGGTTGACTTATTTTTAACTTTGTTATTGATAAAAACATTGATTGCCAAGTTGGGAGGTAGTATGTAAATTATATTTTATTGAAGATTTAATTAAACTGTAATGAGTAGTATTTGAGTCGTGGAGTGAAGTCCCTCCCCCCCTCAAGGGTCTGTGAGTTCCGAGTAATAAGTGTGCTGTATCATATTATAGGTCCTGAGAAAATCCATTAACCAACAACCATTTTAGTTATAGAGACTTATTATTATTAATTAAAAAATACATTTTTGAGAATATTTTATCCAGTGTTTTTAATTTTTATTAAATCAACCCAATTTTAAAATATTTACCTTATTTTAAACAAGGAGTTTAATTGTAATATATTAAAATAGATGCAGAGTTGTTTGACATTTTCGAGGACTGTAGGGTTCTTGACTTATTGTATTAAAATGTTTTTCATCGGAAATTTTCTTTGAGATTTTTCATTTATTTTTCAACAACTGCAATATAAATCAATATAAAATAGACATCTGCCTTTGACATTAATAAGATTTGCATTTTCTAAATAATGAAATAGTAAACCCAGGTGCGCACTCAGGGATTTTAATCGGGGAAGAGGAGTCTTACAAATTGTCATATATCCCCTTACACACAAATATACAATTATCACTTATTCGACTTCCATGGCATCGACAGTTGAGAATAATAATTATTTTTTTGATCGCCATCGTTATCGATCAAAGGCGACGACCTACGATCTTGTTCCTTGAGTACAAACCTTGTGTGTTTAACTATTAATCTGTAGTTATTATATTATTTAAAAAATACCACCATTGTAATCTATATATATAAGAATCTAACTTGATTTTGGAGACGAAGGAAACGGGTTTTGAACCCTCATTATAATAATAATAATTATCTAATTACCAATTATTTTCATATATTCACCGATAACGATGTCTGTTTTTTTTTTTTTTTTTTATAATCGTTGCATTATTTGTATAGTCAAAAAATAGTCTTATGTTTTTAAATTAAATTATAAAAAAATAATTTCTTCCGGAGGGAGATCGGGCAGCTAGTATTATATAAGTGACAAAATAAATTACTATTATAATGTTTAATCTAATATATTTATGGTTTTTTGGGGGGTGGGGGAGTGCTTCAGCTCCAATCAGGCCCGCAATGGTATAACCTCAAAATTAATGTATTTATATGCATGTATTTTTGTGTTCCTGCTATATATTTTTTGTTAAAAAAAAATAGTATTCATAGAATCATAAATTCATAACCTAAAAAATTGAATTGTAGATGATAATTCCCAGGTTGTCAGTTTATCTATGAACTTATACCTAACCTAACCTCAAGGTGGTCAATGATACTCAATAACCTTAAAGTAATAAAACAAATTAACTGGTTACCGTAAGATAATTTAAATGACAAAACATGATTTTTGAATTATCCAAGTATTTTAAATGTTTAATAAGTTTAATTAGATAGATTGTAGTCACTATTCATGGAGCGGAACTATTCACTAGGTGATTTGACGTGGTAGTCAAAAAATAATTCCAAGGATATGATATTATTATATAGGTATATATGGCTGTTAAAAGTTTAAACGGTACTCGAAATATGACTGAGATTTGTTCGTTAACTATAAAGACAACCCAAACAAAACAAAAAAAACATACTTGGAAAACTTTTCCAAAAATACGAATTTCGACGGTTTTGCAAACGAACGAAATGATTGAGAAGAATAATCATTATCTAACCACAACCCCAAAAACGCGTAGAAAATGTACAAAACTTAGAACGCGAACGCCTTCCAAATTCGTTATCCCTCCATCGCCAATGAAACTTTACCCCGTGCCTGTGTACTTATATATTTTTCCACTCGATCGATAATGTACGTAAATGGTATAAGAAATGCGGTTCACGTTGCCTACCTCATAATGATGGTAGGATTATTTTTATGCCACAAGAAATTATGAAACAGTGGTGTCAATGCGTAATAGGCTTGAAATGTCACTACTTATAATTCGTTTTTCGTTGAAAATATTTAAAAATGGAAAAACAAGGACCTCACTTCAATTCTTTTGTTCAGACGAATAGAACAAAGACTAAGTACTTTAAGAGTGCACTTTGTATTAACCTAGAAACCATTAATGGTATACTTTAGCATTATAATGTAGGATATATTATAATTGTTAAAGAATTTAATTTTTACTAAAATACCGGATTTCATAATATGCAAATAATAATATTCTAATTATGTTATTGTCTTATTTAATTGAAATTACTTATTATTTTCTGAAACATCTTAAAAAAAGTTTTTTTAGTTATAACCTTCAGACGGTTTATATGTTTATAAATAATTCATTTACATCATATATATTATATATATTATTATATGTCATACAAATCACGTGAGTTAATGTGGCAATTATCTTAGCCACCTCATTAATATAGTGTCTTCATAGTATAATACTAATATATTTCTGTTGTTTTTATTTAAAAATGCTATTGCTTAAATAAAATACATAATACCATTTAGTTGTATGTTTAAATAATAATATCAAATATGTATAGGGATTATACAAATATATGATTTAAGTCAAAAACCCAACATTAAAACTGTCAACTTGATAAATGACAGAAGTTTTATTAAAATCTGTTGCACATGGTTGATTTTTTTTATAAAATATTTATGGATCTCATTTCGAAAAAAAAATGATGATTCTAAAAAATGTGCAAATTACTATAAATAAATTATAAAAAAAATCATGTCATTGAAGCGAAA